ACACACACACACACACACACACACACACACACACACACCTGCGGCCGGAGTGTGAATGAAGGACTTGAGCGTCAGAGTAAAGCAGCTTTAATGAATCCTCAACACTGATTCACGCCAGCGAGTCCAGCTGAGTCTGAACCGTCTCCATCTGAAAACACACACAAAACATGAGCATCTGAACACACACACACACACACACACGCACACACACACACACACACACACACACACACACACAGACGCACACACACACACACACACACACACACAGACGCACACAAACACACACACACACACACACACACACACACAGACGCACACACACACACACACACACCTGATTGTAGAACTCCAGCAGATCCTGGTGGCTGAACTCCAGGAATACGTCCTGCAGCCGCTGAAACACACACAGGAGAGCGTCAGGATAAAAGCTTCATCCATTATTCCTGTGAAAGCACTTTACTGAACACACACACACACACACACACACACACATGCTCAAAGATTCATGATCGTATCAATTAAATATCAATAACACACTCGCTGCTGGGGGAAAAGCAGAAAACTGAGAGACAGAGACGACGCTAAGAGATCTGGAGAAACACACACACACACACACACACACACACACTCACAGTGTTATTTACAGCTGAAGCGTTTCAGTGAGTCTGTGTATTCTCCTGAACTGAATCTTCTGTTCAAATCACTGAAGCTTCAGCAGGACGAGAGTGAACAAACATGCCTGACGCTGTACTTGTGTGTGTTTGTGTGTGTGTGTGTGTTCTCCTGCTGACACCGACTGCAGTTCAGTTCTGTATTGATAATCAAATATTGCTTGTTCCCTATAAAGCTGTAAATAACCCAGCTCCTGTTTATCTGACCCAGCTTCTGTCTCGCTACAACCCAACCGGCTCTTGAAGATCTCTAAACTCAGGGCTTCTGAATAGCAGAGTCCACTAAAGGAGGTCGAGCCTTCTCATTTATGGCTCCGTTTTGAATGTTTTTTGCAGCAGACAGGCGCATGTGGCTTTGGTTTGGTTAAAAGCAGAACGGCCGTGACATGCGCATGTCTCCATTTTGCTTGTTTGCTTGTGTGTCCATCTCAGAGTAACAGCCGTACACAACAGCAGCTTGATGACAGCAGCGTACCGGCGTTCAGAAGGGGAAGACGACGGTGTGAACACAAACCAGCCGTGAAGGTGGCGGGGGTGGGGGGCAATCGAACTTGGGTACAGTCCAGGCATTTGAACTAAGTGTGAACGCACCGTGAGGGCCCTTTACACGAATACGTTTTAGAATGTAAATGATCTGTGTCCACACTGGCGATTCACCTAACGCTTCTGAACAACTCTCCATACACACTACACCATTGTAAATCACATGACCGCGCACACACACACACACACACACACACACACACTCTGGCATGCGCTGCAGCATGCTTCCAGATGAGAGCTGTGCACATCAGACTGTTCATCAAGGATCTCCTGCTGGATCTAATCTCACTATATTTGTTAAATGTGATATTTAACTCACCTTGTTGTCTATATATCACAGCATATCCCCTCACTTTGGTCTTTTGAATCTATTCTTGTTCTCAGGTAACGTGTTTAGGCAAAGATAAGTTAATAATGAATGTAACCGCAGACACTGATTCTGCATATTGACTGATTGCTCGCCTTTATTTCCTATATTGTATAAATGTATTGTGTGTTATGCTGTTATAATGGCCATTATTGATTATT